AAAAAGGATTTGAGGTCGGAGACTAGTTTTATTAAACGCGAAAAACCTACCTACACATACCGTGTATGCCGTCTTTAAGATAAAACTAAGACTCAGGTTCATTGGACCGTTCAAGGCCGTGGCTAGGAATGGCCAAGCCTATATACGTAGTCTTCCAAAAAGATGCTCACCCACCCGGCGTCTTACGTGAACTTACTCGAGCTATATAATGATCCTGCTGGGGTGAGCGTAGGGTCGCTGGTGCCGATTCGGAAGGCGGCTGGACGCCAGCGGGTGGCTGGCCCACGACAGGCGGCTGTGAGACAGCAGGTAGCTGGGCCACACAAGGCTGGGGAACATCGGATGACAGAGCCACAGGGCAAGAACCAAGCTGCTGAAGACGCAGCAACTCCAGCTGACCTTGCAGCTGAGCGACTTGACGATCTAGATCAGAACTCGGTTTTAAACCGCTTTAGACGCGTTGAAACAGTCCACCCGTCGGTGCGTCTCCTCCAGATCCTGCCAAGCAACCAACCGAAACGTTCGAGTCGTGCACGAATTCGTTCAGGGAACCAACGCGCTGTTCCAGCGCAAAACCCCGAGGAAATTGTCTTTTTCTGAAGAAAGATGTATGCTCAACAACTTGTCCAAGATAAATGTGTGAAGATTCAATATTTTAGATTCACAACAGCCAGACCAGCAGTACATCCTACTGAATTTCAGTATTTACGTTGAATGCAAATTCCTACAGACGCTGTAGCACAACTCACGCTGCAGGAAGAGTTACAAATCTGCACATGTCCGCATCTTTGAACTAGTATATCTGTTATTTATTTATTTATTTGTTTGTTTCTTTTCCAGCCAACTTCTTGTTTGCAGGACGCTTGCTGTCATCTGATACGGTATCACTTCGGCTAGCGGTACAGTTACACCAAATCTGAATATAACTGGGAATGAACGATTGTTTGTAATTCCACCGCGTTGCGTTAGCGTAATATGAGTTAACAAAGTTCGTGCAACATTTTAGCTGCTGGCAGTCCCTTTTTT